TACCATACCATTGTATGATCAAAGGATGTCCACATTTAGAAGGCTTTAATGACATGGAGAGTTGAATGCTTTCTCTAATTGTGAATAACATCATAGTAATGTCATGTGTAATCATACATCTGTGTAACAGGAAGGTGTACATTCACACCTCTTTCTGCTCTCTACAGTTTCCATTTGACAGCAGTTTTATGACCTCAGCTCCAGATGTGCCATCCACTTGCATATTGTTTCTCACCCTTTGTCCAGAACTTCAGCTTAAGAGAACATATAAGTAAAGACAGACTTTTTGAAAATGGAGCCTGCAAACTTTTTAAAACGCTACCACCTGTGGTGGCTCAAAAGTACCACTGAACTAGCCTAAACTCTGCCCTTTGGAAAGGTGAGAGGATGTTTCAATAACGTGTCAAGCATTCCTTGCTGTTGCTATTGCTGGTTTAGATGCCTGAAACCAGATTGTTCTCCACATATTCCAATTTTTCGGCATTTTATATAAAAGACAGGCCTTTGCAGCATGTCCCCTACTGAGGTGGCATCCACGAGGCTCAACCTAGACAGAAAATACACAGCTCCAGTCCAATATCATGTTATCTATGTGTATTCCTGATGAGTGGATATTGACATGAATAGAAGAACATTCAGTCTAAATGTGCACTACTATTTATCATCTACAGTTGTAAGCACATCGTGTTTCAAGGCAAAGTTCTGCTTTCTGAGATATCAAAAATTTATCTTATGACACTTTGATATTTGCTATTGGCAAACGCTTGGTTTAAATAACACCACCTTTCAGGAAAGGTCTTTTGGTTGCTGCCCAATATAAATATGTTTTTGTAATTTAAGAATGTGAGTTGGCCAGTTTTAATTATCTTTCATCAGTGAGAAGTCTCCACTTTTGCAAGCAGTTGACAGCACATGAAACACAAACTGAGATCTTAAATCAGGGGTGCACAACTCTGGTCCTGAAGGGCCAGTGTCCAGCACAGTATGGTGATTTCCCCACTCAAACACACCTGATTAAATTAATCTGATAATTGCCTGGTTTAATGGGTGTGTACACTCATTTTTAGATGATATTGTCCCACTACATTTCAAATCAGGCTACAGTGTAGATTTTTTTTCCCTGATTGTCATAAACAGCAGCACAGACTCTTCCAGGCACAGAGGTGGGAAAATAGTCACCTTCCCTAAAATCAAAGCGACCAGCCTACGCAATCAGTGAATATAGTTTGCACAAAAATTTGATTAGAGCTTTGAATTAAAGTAGATTAGATTATTCTAATAATACTGACATTCAAAATCAAGCCCTCTCTTGTGGTCCTTGTGTAGAGTGAAAATTACAGTAGCGTGTAAATCAATGACCACCCTTAATTTATTTAATTTCCAGATAAAACCACCATTTAGTACCATTTAGCACCATTTAGTAATTTGTTTTTCAGCATTAGGAAAAAAGAAGAAAACATATATGTAACAAAATTACACAGAAGCCTCCATGATTAAATATAATTTCAAAATATTTAGTATTTAGTAATTGTTCTGGAAACATGAGAAGCTTCTTGGTTTGATGTGCAAATGTTCTTCTTTTTTGTCTATTTTCTTTTCCCAGTAAGTGTTTCTTAACAGATACACACCCTTTCAGAACCATAGTGTTCAGTTTTGTTCTCACAGTGGAAGGATGAACAGAAACATCCGTTTTTTTCAGATCTGAAGTAAGAGTGGTACTTGATTTTCTCCTCTCTCTGAAAGAGTTTCCCCTCTCTCTGATAGTTTTGACTGACCACCAGGTCTTGGTAGAAGGTTGGTGGATGGTAGGTAGAAGTTTTTCTATATCTTTTGATATTTTTTTTGATCTCCAGTTTTGGAACTTCCTGTTTCTTTGACTTTCCCCTCCATTATGTACAATTATCATGTATCTAATCTCCTTTTTTGGGAGAAATATCTAAAAAACTAAGTTCACCTCTCCTTTGTGAAAGAAACTCATGGACTTCAATATAGAAACTCTTTTGATGTGGTTTCAGGATTCGCCCCAGGATGCTGCTAAGAACTAGAAATCCTGTGCCAGTATCTCCTCTAAAAACTCACATTCTTTAGAGATCTGTGCAGTATTGACACATATGATTTCAATAGCACTTGACCTCAGAAGCCATTTTGATTGGCACTAGGTTCACATACTTCCTGTGTTTAGGTAATCTTTTGACTGTGAAATATATGATGAGACTACAAACAAATGCTAATTAACCAATGACCTGGAATTTCTTTCTCTGCCAGCAGTACATCAACTACATCAAACAATCAATGAACAGAAGTCTAACATTGTAGAAAAAATATAAGAAAATATAGTCTTTGCCTAGATATTACATGTAATTTATAAAGTGAGGGGACACTTCTTTAAAGGTCATGTGACCTATGAGCTGCATGATGATAGGATTTGTGACTAGCAAAGCCATGCATGGAATGCCAGTAACTGCTGTTATCTGTTTGCCTGTGTCATTTTGTTCTTCAACTAACTATTTTAAGCGGCTAACATCTGCACTATTTATGGCTTCCCATCATAGTCTACAAAACTACCACTAGCCAAGCCACTCTCTTAAATAACCACACTCCAAACAGTACTAGACACAACTCAGGTGTCATTATACTATTAGTATGTTTTCAGTGACAGCCAGGGCCAGCATTGTGCTATTTTCGCTGTTCTAGACTTAAGAAAACTGTGCTGCCATGGCAGATTTGCTACATCCCTACTGAAAAAACAGCTTGGACAACACAAGCTAGTTAAACTAGATAAGCTAGTAGATCAGCATAGCTGGTTAACCAGCATAAAGTATTTGGAATATGTATTCAGAATACAGAAATGTATTCAGTCCAAGTTACATTTTGTGAAGGCAGTATTTAGAACACAGTCACGTTTTACATTTTACACTCTCAGAAATAAAGGTATGAAACTGTAAATGGGTCAGTAAAAACTGTAAACTGGGGTGGTACCCTCAAGGGTACATCTCAGTACCTTTAGTCAGGAAACGTGATTGTACCATAATCCATTAAAATTATATTTACTAAGTTGTATTGACTCCACACACCCCGTCTCGTCTCCAGGCTTTTTATTTTATTGTTCTGTTTTAAAACATTAGGTTATGAAAAGGTACAAATATGTACTTTTCACCTGGAAAAAAATATTTAAGGTATATATTAGACCTTAAAACCACTATTGTACCTTTGAGGGTACACTTACATTGTTTGAACCTTGATGAACAAAAAATGCACCTGCACAGTTCCTTTATGTATATAATATAAATGTTTAGTGACTTTTTTATGAAACATATTTCAATAAACAGAATAATTACATGACACACTTTTTCCAACCTTTATTATAAATGTATTTATTCATTTACACATTTATTCATTTTTACAATTATACATTTACATAAATGTATTCTAAATGTAGTCTAAATATCGCTTTTTTATGGAATATGCTATTGAATACATTTAGGACAGTGTATTCAGTATTTGGCCATCACTACTTTTTCAAAGTATTTTGCCCAACCCTGAGCATAGGATATGTGTTTGACCAGTCCAGCTGCATGCCCAGCTTTTTAACCACTAGCTTAGACCAGCTACCAGCTACCACTTTATAAATTATACCAGCAAAAGCTGCCCTTTTTATTCAGCAAAGCTTCACAATCCATAAGCAACAACATACAAAAGCAAATGTCCCACCCATACAGATAAATTTAATATGATAGCACTACTCACACTTTGTGACACACTTTGCCACACAGTGCTTGATAAACAGGGTAGGTATCTGTAAGATACACACAGTGGCCAACGTCTAAACAAAGTTGTTTTCCAATTAAACAAAAATTTCACCATTTCTATGACCTGACCCTTCGCTATAGATATAGAACAACAAATGCATGTAATGTGATGTTAAATACTTTTAGTGTTATCTTGGCCAGCAAATAGTACTTTTAGTGTTAAATTAGCCAGCAAACAGTGATTAGGCTGTCACTGTTAGAATGTGGCTGTTATTTAATTTACAACTTATTTCATGTTAATTTAAACACTTTAAAATCACAGGCTTATAATATACTAAGGCTTATTACTCAGTAACTACGGGGACTTCAGTGTAAACTGGCTGAGCTATTCTTGGGTTATAGAAGTGTGTAATAAAACTTTGGGCCCCTCCAGTGAGTTACCCAAGAAAGGCTTTGATAGCCAGCCAGATTTTTCAGGTAGCTAACATTGCCACATACCAAATGTGTTCCATGTGATTTTTTTTCTCAGGTTTAACTGGTAATATGGCGCTCCACACTGTTTAATCCACATTCTACACCTCCCCTCTTGTGTCTTTGGTTTAGGAAATGGGTAATATTTCACTCCCCTCTCCAAAACTCCAAATCTGATTTATAAATTTTCCTCTTGCAAAGCTGCGGCCTTGGGTGAAGTTGTAAGAGTTTGCCTGTGTGTGTGTGTGGTTACAAGTTGCTAAGCAATGATCAATCTGTATTTAGAGGTGGGTTTTGGTGAGGGGTGGGGTGGGATTAGGGAGAGGCCTGAGCAATGACTGACACATTTCTTTGCCAGCAACAGAGAACTTGATAAAATGATGTAATCTGCATTCTGCATCTTCGGGCATAGTAGACAGAATAATTTGGTTTGGCCTCCCTTGCTCCAGTGCCGCTCTGGCCTAGTTCCCTGGTTATATCAGTGTTTCAGTGCAGCGTCTACATATTGATAGTAGATTGCAGTAGATAGTAGTCATAGTAGTCATATTTAACAGTTGGTCTCCTGCTATACAGATAAGAAGGACTCTAAACAGGTCAGGCACTAGGACCAGGGGCATCCCCCTTCCAGAGGCTCTGAGATGGGGACTCCTTGCTCTAACTTTCATAGCAATCTATTTCTCAACAACTACTACGGACTTGTGCTGCACTGGATGACCGAAGGATTTAGCTTCTTCAGATTTTGGAATTTGGGATTAATTGGCACAATTACACTGATTTTGGAACTTCTGGAATATTATCAGCTCAAATCAGTACTTCAGCTCCAGGAGGTGACAGAAAAGGCACTGGCAAGGATCACTGGATGAAATACTAAGACAGTTTGAGGTTTGAGACACTGTTTCTCCTGTATACTCATTCTACCTAGACTACTTGTTAACTACAAGAGTCCAGTTTTTGGGTCATAGATTTAAATTTTAGTTTATCTTAAAGAAATTGGCAAAAAGCATTCTTCTGAATGATGCCATAGAAGAACCATTTTTGGTTCCATTAATAACCTTTTAATGGATTGATCTGTGTAAATGATAGGTGAGGTTATGAGATTATGAAGTTTAAAGAAACTTTTCATACATTATAGAATTGTATGTCTGAGCCAAAAAACATTTACAAAGCTCTTCCAGAACTAACTCTGGTCCTTGAGATCATTCTAGAAATTGTTAGTTGCTTAGTAGATACAAGGTAGTTGTAGTTTCTGTTTCTGCATATAAGATGCAGTTCTCATTACTCAGGTCCTGTAGAGGACTCTTTCTCAGTTTTTAAAGTGCCAGTGTGTCTGTCTGTGATTACAATTGTGTGGATCTATGAAAACGCCTGCAGGGACAACGCGGCCCATAGACTTCTCCAGTCTCATTTGTCCCACTGAGGTGGGGGTTAGAATGTCTCTCCTCTCCTTCAAACTTCAGGCTCATCAGGTTACAATTGTGATTCGAACTACACCAGACTCAAAAACACACACACATACAAAGGTATGCATACGACTCGTGTTACCTCGAGTCATATAGCGTTGAGGATGTGAGATTGGCATCAGGTCAAATCTGCTACTCTTATGCCTCATATGATTAGACTCCAGACAGACTCCAATCATCACTGTGCTCGTTATCATCGCCCTGCATTATAACATGAGTGCGATCAGCTCCGTCTCAGTTACGCCTCAGTCACTCATTATTCATTTATGAATACCAGTCATTACATCTCATTACATGCCTGGTGCACACATGCAAGTAATGGAGAGGAGCTCCTGACTTTATTTGACATGTTGGCATGCTAACATGGACCAATTGCATAGCTGTTGGATAGCCAGGTTTCTGGAATTTTTACATGGAATGTGATATGAGGGAAAACAGATGTAAGGGCACAAAACCAAGCAGTTATTTGCTGTTTGTATAATTAGAGTGGGCTGTAAGAGACATATTAGCAGGTTCTTCAGCGACCACAAGTGTATCTGAATGTTTGACTTGTTGTTTAGTTAGGGTGATCTCTCTGCTTATCTGTGTGGTATACAGGTCAAACACCAACAGTCCTGATGTTCTCCAGACATTTAGACGCTTGGCAAAAATCTGTTGACTTAGGTATACCAAGTTGGCTTGATTTTTGCAGGCCCTTACGCTGAGTTCAAACATTCATTAAGCTTTTGAGAAGACTGGAATAGACTTCCTGGGCATTAGGGTATTATAAGCATCTCTTTGGGTATTGTGAAATATTTGTTGGGGCAGTACAGAGCAAGGTCTTATAATGGCATGTAGTTTTTCAGGGCAAGTGTTTTTCAATGGCATTTTCTTTTTGTAGCTTGAATATATGTGTGGAACAAAGAATACAATTTGTTTCTGTCCTTGAGCTGCTGATTTCTACTCTTCAGTTAGGGTGCTCTCCATTTGGCTGAAAAGACGAGAATTCCATATGCCATGACTCACCTAAAACATCAGGCAGTAACACATGAACAGGAATCTTTTAGTTTCACTAATCCTTCTTGCTCCTTTCCAGAGGAGTTACCACAACAGCCTTGAGGGGGTGTACTGTGGCGACCTTAGGGCTTCCCCCTACCGAGCTTGGGATTACCTGAAGCAAAACAGGAGAAACAGGAGAAAAGAAATGTGTGGCCAAGGAGCAGCACTATGAAAATAAACACCCTGCGCAAGGACTGAGAGTCAATTATCAAGGCCCAGACTAAATAGAAATTAACAGCTGGTTGGGTGATGTCGTAATGCTTTCAAGGAGTTAGTAAAACCTTTGTCAGTAGAATGAAGGAAAAAAGAACTACTTGTTTACCATATGACAAATTGGGGAGCTCATGCCAAATTGGACTCATGTGCACAGTCTTGAGATATTGATGCAGTGGGTTGTAACTGAGTAGAGTAAATTCTGTCTCGTGTCCCCTTTGAAGATACCAGCCATAGACCAGAAAAGTGTGCTAACACATGGGTTCAATTCTGAAGCACTCTGATAAATACCACCCTAAATGTATGCATCCTGTCCCCGTGCAGCTCTAAATCAGAATTTTGATATAAACCATCTAGAATATTTACCATTTTTCCTCTGAAATAAGCTCGAGAGATGCAGGTGTTTGCCCATGAGAAACTCTCTCACACGTCCTTTTTCCACTCTTCTGTAAACTGTTGGAATAATGTTAGAGGCCTTTATCTAAGGACTGGGCCACAGCCAACATTCGCCTTGTTCTACATTCAGCGATCCTGTCAGAGGTGTTCCCTGTTTCACTACCTAATAGGAGGAATCTATGCATAAAATGATTAGCATATGAGCTTGGAATGGATTGCTACCTTATGAACTGTCTGGTGGTCCTGGTCATATGACTTATCTTTTATATGTATATGATATCAAAATGTTGTGATATTCATTATATATCGTTTCCCTTTTTTTACTATGTATATGCCAATAATATGTTGTATATCTAATTGCCAGATCCAGTATTATTCAGGAAAAAGTAATGTATTGAATTTACTTCATTACATAAACACAAATTTGATTAGTTACACAGATTAGTTTACTTACTTTTGGCAAAATTAGTGCAGACATTGAAAACAGTACTGTGAAAAAGTCAGACACCATTTACTTAAAGTCATTCATTTTTCAGGCGATATTTCTCCTGAACAATCGTGCAAGACCTGGTAGACCACCATGTCTCTCACCATCAGACAAAAGGTACTTAAATTTTTTTCTTTGAGAAAGGAGAAAATCAAGCTCCACTTTTGCCTCAGATCTGAACAATTCCACAGGTGTTTTTGTCCATCCTTCCACTGTGAGAAGACAACTCAGCACTATTAGTCTGAAAGCATGTGTAGCTGTCAAGAAGGCCTAACTGAGAAAAGGAAACAGACAAAAAGGAAATTTGAAAATCAAAAAAGAAGAAGCTGATGGTGTTCTCAGACCTCAACATTACTGAATGTATTTGGGATTGTTTGGATTGTGAGAAGCAGAAAATGCAACCAACTTCTATGACTGAACTTTGGAAGTGTGGAAAAATATCCTTGCAGGTTTCTTTGAAGAAAGAATGGAAGCTGTAATAAAAATGATGCTGAAAAATAAATAACATGTATGTAATAGCTGTTGCTTTGACTGTAACTTAAATATATGAATGGTGATCTCTGACTTTTGCTCAGCACTGTAGATGTTCCCACTGACTGTTCCAGAGTACTCTATGTAATATGTTTTATTCATGTGGAAATGATGTACACATTTGTATCAAGCAAATTTAACGCATTACCCTTTTCAGTGTAATAATCATGGTCAGATTTTAAAAGTCTCATATTTGCTAACATTTAAGAGGAGTTGAAGCCAGTCTACTTTATAGGGGTCATCAACAAACACCAAACCTGTGTTCTTTACCAAGTGCACTCTTATGGACACTGTAATTGGTATTTACCATCCATCTCTGTTTAATAGGCCTGATATGTTTTGTTTCAAGTAGACCTTGCTTACATCTATAATGACAGCTTCTTTTCCAAAGCAAAACCCTCTATTTGTGTACACATCATCGGTGCATGTGAAATAGTGCGTGGCAGGGAAACACGTGTATATCACTTGCTTTAAGTCTTGTTTATTTTAGTTGTGGATGAGCAATCTCCTGTGCTTCATGCAGGGAGGATTTGTGCATGTAATCTAAACGTTGCAACTAATTTCAATATTTAGAGGAGCTGAAGACAGTTGTATACAGTTGCCACGAAACATAATGTAAATCTGAACATCTGGGATGAACTGTGGTATGAGGAAAACAACAGGGGTAGGGACCCTCCTCGTAACTACTAAGCACACAGCCTGAGGCAGAGTGTTTGCGAATGGCGCTCTATGGTGACTTGATTGTAGGCAGCTAAGCTCTAAAACACTTGGTCCTTTTTGTAACCTCTCTGGAGGCTTAGGCTCAAATTGAGCAAAGCTGAGGATACATTCCTTTGCCAAATGTTCCACTATGTACTGATAGTGATATCTGACATAGGGGTCCAAAATCAGGTCATGTAATCTGAGAGAAGTGATACAGATGCTTTCGTGACAACTAGTCCAGTCTGAACTGAAAGATACTTAATTGTTTAAGACCTACAGTGCTTTTTGCATAAACATTGTAGATCAGATGAGAAATATAACCTAGTGATGCTATAAGTGAGACATCACCTTAACATTTCACTTTCAAATTCAGATGTTTTAAGGTCCAAACGAAGACATGATGGCTCCAATGAGATATTTTCGATAGAAGCTTTCAAGACAGCCCATGTTCTTAAAAATAAAGATTCTTGGTTCTGGGCTTGAACATACGCTTCTGGGACATACGTCTAATTGGTATAGACCCTGTACATTACGTGGAGTTCTTTAAAAGGGTTCTTCACACTCACACATTCCATTTTTATAAGAGGTTCTTTAAAGCGACGCTATATAAGTTTTGGGCATTTGAAGACCTCTGTGGTAGAAATGTGTAAATGCATGCAACATTTTGTAACATTAGGTGTGCTTTGGACTCCTGAGCACATAAATCAGATGACTGCAAGGGCCAGCTCTAGCCTTTTGGGGGCCTTAAGCACAATTCCCCCCAATTCAGCATTTAAGTGTAAGCATGGTTTGATCAAACCCTGGTGGCAGTGGCAACAGCATTGCTTTTTTCACTTTTCTTAATTTCACTTCTTTACTTTTTTTAATTAATGTTGTACAATGAATTAACTGTGTCTTTGTTTGTTAGATTTCCTAAGGCTGAAACTTAATCAGAAAGCCTAAGTTGAACCTGCTTTTTAAGACAGACCCCATATTGACCCCCTTTTTTGTCCAACTGCAAGCCAAAACAGATGGCATAACATTAACACCCCCCCTCAAAAAAACCCATACCTTTA